AGAAAATCCTTGAACTGAAGGAGTCCAAGAAAAGAATTCCAAGGAACCCAAGAAATCAAAATGCAAATTAATTAAAATTGCTGCTATGGTGCCTGAAAAACTTCGAGGAGGTGCAAACTGTTTAAAAATTGAATAAGAAGTTCGACAATTAAGTTAGTTAATATGGAAATTTAAATAAATAGTTTGAATAGGAAATCCTTGACCTAAAAAATTCCAAGAAAAGGATTCCAAATAACCATAGAAATAAAAATGCAATTTTTTAATGAAGATCAACGATCAATGATCTATCTGCAAATTCAAGACAGAGATTCCAAAAAAGGGAATTCCAAGTAACCACAGAAACAAAAATTGCACGCCAAATTTACCAAACAGAAGAGAGAAAAGTACCATTTTAGAGCTTTAATTAGAATTGCTTATACGATGACAGAAACCCTGAATATTCAGTGCTGAATATGAAGATCAACGATCAATGATCCATACACCCATTGCACTCCGTTGTCACCGCGACATTGTAAGATAAATTTTTAAGAAAAATTGAACGCCTACAAAGTATCTTCCACAGAGGCGCCATTGTAAATAGTCTCGGAGTAGCTGGTAGCCCATAGTAAAAATGATTCAGAGTGTCTGGTAGGTCATATTAAAAATTGCGAGGAGTGCAAAGGGTTAAGACAGAGATTCCAAAAAAGGGAATTCCAAGTAACCACAGAAACAAAAATCGCGCGCCGAATTGCATTTCACCAAGAGAAAAAAAGTGTCATTTCAGAACTTTCGTAACTCCAAGAACGCTAGAATTCCGACGAGATATTAAAACTGCATATTCGAATTTCGACGTTATCCGGAAGATCGTTATAATTGTCCTTCGAATTCGACATCTAATCTCGATCATCGGCCGGACAATGGACGAGCATGCGTGACGTCGTCAGCAGCCGATGCTATTGGGTTACTGGTACCGCGCGGGAGCTTGATGAAGTGCACTTGAGTGTACTTGACGCAAAGACGCTGAATATGCAAGCTCACCGGATGCCGGCTGTCGGCACGATGTATTACTACGGATCTTATCCAGACCGCTGTCATCCATATTGAAACCTATTTGCATTTCAAACTCCTCTCTGTGTACGTCGAATCCACTCTCTCGTCCCCGTGCTCCTTTATTTTTTCCCTCCCCCACGTCTCGTGTACCTTCGATTTTCCCATGCATGAACCAGCGACAATTAAAGGCTGCACTTTCGTGCAAGTCGACTGGATGGAATCGCGAGGGAATCTTGCGAGACGAGTAGAACAAGCTTAATTGATCGAGCGATTCTTGAGAACCGTGAATGGTTAATTGGATGTTGCGGCGTTTTTTGCAATACTGGGAAATTAAGTTTCTCGTTTTTGACAAGACTGATGAGAGAAATGGAAATTAAATGATTATTCTTGACACGAGGAATACTTTGAATAAATTAATTAATTATCATCACTGTAAAGTTCTTTTCTTCGGTAAAATTGATCGAAGGTTCAGAGAAGCGAAAATGAAACAAACGATCGAATTTTAAATTACACTTTTTGTGAGAGTGTCATGGAGTGAATGATGGAATACGGTTATTCTCGATACGAAGAATATTTTGACTAAATCAACTAATTATCATCGCTATGGAGATTGTCAGAATTATTATAGATTGAAAATTGGAGAATTTTTGCCGAAGTTCCGTTTTTTCGATAAAATTGATCGATGGTTCAGAGAAATGAAAAATTTCAAATTACAATTTCTATGGGAGTGTCACGGATTGAACGATGGAATGTGATTATTCCTGACACGAACAATACTGTGAATAAATCAACAAACTATCATCACTAGAGAGATAGTCTGAATTAAATTGAAAATTGGACAATTTTTGCTAAAGTTCCTTTCTCGATAAAACTGATCAAAAGTTCAGAGAAGCGAAAACGAAATAAACGACTGAACGATGGAATACGATTATTCTTCTTCCCTTGGAAGTGTCATACACAAGGAATACTTCGAATAAATCAACAAACCATCATCGCAACGAAAATTGTCAAATTTTTATTAAAGTTCCCTTTTCGCAACAAAATTTCAAATAACACTTTCTACGAGACCGTCCTACACGAAGAATACCCAGAATAAATCACCCAACTCCGAGGAACTATCATCGCTACAGAAAGAAAGAATCTCGGACAATCGACATTTGATCGTCGTTCTCCATCACACGGTTCACATTCTCCCCGAGAAAAATCCAAACGGAACGTTCCCTGTCAAGTCTAACTAACGACTAACTCCAATCTGAACTCTGAGAAAAGCAATCTCAGCGTCTACTTTCCCCGCAAATTCCCTTAATATTTCACCGCTCTCGCCGTCCTTTCTTCTCTCCTCTACAGCGCACGATAAAACCCACAGTCACTCGTACACGAAATAAAAACCCTCCGTACTCCACCTCGAATCCCCCCTCAAAAAAGAAAACCTCGTCTCAGTTTCGAACCTCAACTCGACAATGGCGGCCGACTGTTTTATACTACACCGGGGAGTAGTATCTAGGGTCACGCGTTGCCATCGCGCTGCAAAAGAATCATAACTGTCGGAGAACGCAGCTCCACGACCTAGTTTTCACTTTTCTCACTTCGACGAGCACTATCCTCTCTCGTCCCCGTAAAACAAACTCTCCAAACACTGCAACTAAATCCCCGTGAAGCTGCGTTCCCTTCGATCGTTACAACCCCGAGACGTCCTCGTGACACCAAGATGTCCTCGCGCCGAGTTCCTCAGAAAGTCTTCCTTCTGTCGACTAGTGAAAACTCGATATCGAGGGGAACGAGGAAAGAGAGTAGGTTAGGTCAGACAGGGAACGGAGAAGATTGAGAAAGTTGGAAGAGAAAAGGGTGGCAAAGAATCAAGAGGAGAGTTCGAGAAAGGGAGTTTCGAGCGGGAAACAACGCGACACGCTGTATCGAGCGAGTTGTAACTGCGTGGATGGATAAGGGAGAGGCGAAGGGGTGGTTGGATTAACGTCGAGCGAAGGAAGAGAGGGTCGGCGAGATTTCGAGCGAGGATCTCTCGTCCCGGGGCCTCGGCTGTATATGTGTGTGTGTGTGTGGCTTAAATCTAACTGTATTCTCAGGGGTGGGTTGACAGGGGTGGCTCGCAGCCTAAGGGCGACGTGAGCTTACCTTGCTTCCCCTTTCGTTAAATATGATTTCCACGTCGAGGATCGGCCCGAATTGCTGGAAAACAGAAAGCAACGTTTTCTCCAGAACGTGTCACTGTGTAGTCAATGGAGTTGGAGAAAAAATGCACTCTTTCTTTCTCATTTATTCTATATTTTCTGCAGCTGTGATTTTAGGTAACAGCACATTTTTTCTCCGAATTTTAGTCAGTTGAATTATTCGTTGATACGCTGAGCTCACGTTTCACGCCGCAGTCAATTGTAAACGATATATTTCAAGTTAGCCGATCGTTCTACGGATGACATGTTAAATTTGAACAACTACTGGTTATCGAATTGCACGATTTTTCATTCTCCGTCGATGGAATTTGTTAGAAAAGAGCAGTACAGTCAACGTATCAACGGAACAAAGATTGATTACCTTTACTCAATACACCAAATTCCTCCACATTTAACGCGATATAAATTACTAATCAAATAACCAAAGATGCAGTATCCGTGGATTAATTGATAAATATTGAAATTGTGCGAAGAAAGTAAAACTTACCCCGAACATTGCCCTGAGATCAGGGTCTCGGAAGCGGAAAGGTATATTGCTGACGTGAAGGCGTTTTGGCTGACCTTTCAGGTCGCTACCCTGTGTCGCGGTTGCAGGTGTGGTCGCACCGGAGGTGACAGGCACCAAAGTGCTGCCCTCCACGGCGCCCTCGGGGTTGGTCTCGTTGCCCGCGGGCGTCGGGGCGG